TCAGGAATAAAGGCCAAGGATACTTTAACATCCACAGCTGCTACAAGTGCCTGGAGCTGACAAGCTGCTAAAAAGCTAGCCACTACACCAAGCTCAAATGAAAACCGTCTGTGGAAAGAATATGTTTTTTCCAAATGAATCTTCTAATTTCCTTTATTCCATAATATGCAAAACTAATATTCAAATCATAGGCCACTAGATATTTCTATTTATTGAAGATGATTAGATTTTACCCTGAGTTTTCTGAAATTCTAGCTTTTATTTTTCTTTTTTATTATCTTTTTGAAGGTTGCAAAGTTTTTATTTTGGGTTTTTTTTTTTTTTTTTTTTGGAGACAGAGTTACACTACGTAGACCTTGGTAGAGTGCTCTGGTGTCACTGCTCATAGCAACCTCAAACTCTAGGGCTTAAGTGATTCTCTTGCCTCAACCTCCTAAGTAGCTGGGACTACAGGCGCCTGCCAGAACACCTGGCTATATTTTTAGAGACGAGGCCTTATTCTGGCTCAGGCTAGTCTCAAACTCACCTGCCTTGGCCTCCCAGAATGCTAGGATTACATGCGTAAGCCACTGTGCCAGGCCTTGAATTGATATATTTTTAGAAAGATCTTCAGGCTCAGTTCAGTGGTTAGGGTGCCGGCGACACACACCAGGGCTGGCAGGTTTGTACCTGGCCCAGGCAAGCTAAACAACAATGACAACTATAACAAAAAAATTGCCAGCATTCTGGTGGGTGCCTATAGTCCCAGCTACTTAGGAGGCTGATGCAAGAGAATTGCTTAAGCCCAAGAGTTGGAGGTTGCTGTGAGCTGTGACACTATAGCACTATACTGAGGGCAGGACAGTAAGACTCTGTTTAAAAAAAAAAAAAGACTTTCACATATGTTTAATTGACAAAATATTTTGGTATTAAGGACTTTTTACCTAGAGAGGAAAATGCAGTCACCTTAGCCCCAGAGAGCTGGCCTAAGAGTAGAGCTGCAATTAAAGTCTCACCCCAATAAGATTTTGTTTTCTGATGGTTATAACTAACTAAATAAAAAGTTAAAAATAATCCCCACCCCACCACACACATTCTCTTTCCTCATAACTTACACATATACATGTGCACACATAACCCACACACTTGGCCAGTGAGACACAAAATACATCGAATAAGAACATGTTCAAAAAGAGAAAATTTAGCCACTGTTCTTTTATTCTGTATCTCCATTTTGCTTAAGTGAGTGTCATTGTGGTAAAATCCTGACTGACAAATTAATCTATCATCTCACCTATATCCCTCTGATCTTAAATACAAAGAACATCAAAGATAAAGAGGCTTCTTTAGGAAGAAATTTTTTGGAATAGACCTGTATTTTGAATAATAAGTTAGTAGAATTTTAAAATAATGATAAAGCATAATATTTCCCTTAGTTTAAAAAAAGAGATGGGGGGGCACACTGTATTGTCTAGGCCAGAGTACAATCGCTATTCACAGGCCCTAACATAGCACACTATAGCTTTGAAATCCTGGCCTCAAGGAATCTTAGTGGCTGAAGTTCCTGAGTAGCTGGGAACATATCTACCAATATAAATAAAATTAGAGAAGCAGAAGAGAAATCATTTGAGGAAAGATAATTTTAGAAAAATGCAGACCAAATTCATTTTATTTTATAAGGAATTTAGAAAACATGAGCAAATAATTCATATTTCATTTTAAAAAGTCTGTACATCATTCAAATTTTAAAGTCAGCCAGTGTGACAATAAAAAATGTACTAACAGCAATGTTTCATTTTAGAACAAAATACTATCTGTGGCTCATGACTAAACATACAATCATAAAGAAAATGTTAAAATGATATAAAATTCTGAATCTCAAAGTTATCCAGTTGGCTGAAGAGAGCACCAATTGTCACCATCAAAGAAAACCAACTACTACTAGATGAAAAAGCAGGTAAATAAATAAAACTGAAGGAGGAAAAAGAGCCCATCATGCCTGGAATTTTTTAATTGAGACAGAGGTTCACTTTGTGGCCCTTCATAGAGTGCTGTGAGTCACAGCTCACAGCAACCTCCAACTCTTGGTCTTAAACAATTCTCTTGCCTCAGCCTCCCAAAGTAGCTGGGATTACAGGTGCACACCACAATGCCCAGCTTTTTTTTTTGTAGAGACGGGGTCTCACTCTGGCTCAGGCTGGTCTCGAACCTCTGAGCTCAGGGCAATCCACCCGACATGGCCTCATAGAGTGCTAAAATTACAGGCGTGAGCCACCAAGCCTGGCCTATTTTATTTTGCTTTTTTGACACAGAGTCTCAAGCGGTTGCCTTGGGTAGAGTGCCATGGCATCATAGCTCACAGCAACCTCCAACTCTCGGGCTAAAGTTTTGCCTCAGTTTTTCTATTTTTAGTAGAGGCAAGGTCTTGCTTTTGTTCAGGTTGGTCTCAAACTTATGAGCTCAAGCAATTCACCTGTCCCAGCCTCCCAGAGTGCTAGGATTACAGGCCATGCCTGGAATTTTGGAGTAAATGTTTCTGTTGTTACAAGTGTTCTATTTTATTTTCTTCCCTTCAGAATCTAAGTGGAAGTATAAGGGATCCAAGAATATTTTCCCAGTTATACCTTACTTTTTCAGTAAGGATATTTCATACTAATAATGATTGATATTATGGTATCACTATAGCCACTGAATGTACTGTTGAAATGATTTAACAACTACTGTAATGCTTTTA